AAATCAATAAAAATATTTTTAAAAACGTTAAAGTGCATGGTTATGCACTTAACTGGTAACACAGAACAGCTATGTTCTTACAGTGTGAAGAATGGGTTGGGGAGAAGGACAGGGGTCACAGGAAGAGGAAGGCTAGAAACAGAGGCCAAATAGGTGGTGATAGCCTAAACCAGTGAGTAGCAATGGGAATACAGATAAGATGGAGGTAAAACTGACATGACTTGATTACTGGATAGTACTGACCTTAGGTAGTACTGACATACTCCTGTGAAAACTGAGGTACCCAAATTAACACCAGTTTAAACTAGAGGGTCAACCTATCTCTACCTTGCCATGAGCAGGGACACTATTTTCCTTGAAATGCAATTTTGGTCACTTACAGACATGCAAGCTAAGGCTGAGACATTAAGTAATTTACTCAAGGTTACTTTGACTAAGGACTGAGATAGGCTCTGAAGACAGTGGTTTTCAATCCTGGCCACATATCAAAAGCTCCTGGGGTGGGAGACAGGGAAACAGAGAGAGAAAGGGGGGAATGGGGAGGAAACTAAACGAGAAGGGAAAAATGAGAAGGAAGAGAGGCAAAGGAGGAGAGAGAGGGACAGGAAGATGGGAAGGAGGAAGAAAGGAAAGTATGGAAGGAGGAAAAGGAGAGAAGGGAGAAAGGAGGGATGGGATGGAGGAAAAGAGATGGGAAAAAATAAAAAAAGAGAATTTCAGTTTCCTAATATGCCAACAGAACCATTAAGGTTCCACAACTCCAAGTATAACTGAAAAGTTTTAGTTGGGAAAATTTCCCAAGTACAGAAGTTCTAACTGACCAACTCTGCCATAAAAACTTCAGTTAAGGCATCCATCATACATACAGCCTTTGGACAACTCAATTTATCAGCATACTGACAAAATTAACCATTCTGTATGTAGACAAAAGAGTGATATTTTCAAAACCTAAATTAGATCAAGACTCTGTAATTAAGCCTTTCAATAACTTCCTATTTTTAGAAAAAAAAATCTAAAGTTCTTGCATTTGTAAAAGGCCCTGAATAATCAGACTCAACTATTTCTTCAACGTCATTTCATACCAACTTTTCCCACTCTCAATCTGCACCAGCGCCAACTGTTTCTAGAACATGCTACGTTCTTGCCTGCTTTGGGACCTTTAAACTTGCTTTTCTCTCAGTTCTTAACATGGTTCTTCCTAATTCTCTACTTTTTGTTTTAAATCTTAAAGATTACTTCCTCAGAGATGATTTTTCAACCCACTCTATCTAAATGGGACTTCCCATGTTACTCATTATCATAACATTCAATTTTTTTACTTCACAGTACGTAGAAGGCAACTGCATGTTTCTCTCCACTACAATGTGAGTTCTTTTTGAGAAGGGATCTTCTAACATACAATCCATAAAACACACCTGGCATATAAAGGCACTGAATTATGTTGGGAAGGAGGAATGGAGAAGGTCAAACTTAGATGCTAACAAAGGTTATTAAATTAATGAATTAATTTGTATGGTGGGATAATGCACCATAAATTAAAAATTAACGCATAGCAAAATTGGTGATTCTGATTTCACAAAAGTTGATTATAGTAGTAATTTAGAAAATGAATCTTCTTGTCTTTTCTACTAATACCTCTAGTCCAGGATAATAAAATTATAATGATGGAAAAAAGTCAATTCAATGAAAATGTAAAAACAGAATAAAATTGTACTAAATTTTGTACAATAAAAAGAGTAGAAGGAACTACATAAAAATGTTAACAGATTACATCTGGATGGTTTGATATATTTTCTTTTTTGCATCTTCCTATATTTTCCAAATTATCTACAATGAGAATGTTACTTTTATAATCAAAACAAAATTGAACTAAAAAACAAAACAATTATTATACTCTGATGGCTCTAAGTTTAGTCATAACTATGAATGAAGCATTATACTATTTTTTTAAATCTTCAAATGACAGTCATCAAAGCCTACTTATGACAGTGAAATTTCTTATTTATTCTTTTACTAATTCTCTACCACTATTACTCTTTGCCACTTTTTTCTTTTAATCCTGGGAAACAGCTTACTTAGAATCGGGGGGAGGAAGGGGAAGAAGGGACGGGGATGATTTTATTTGCACTCAAACTTCAAATCCTCGCTCTTTATAATTTAAAAAAATTTTTTAATGGATTTTAGAGAGAGGAAGGGAGGAGGAGAGAAAAACATCAACCGGTTGCCTCCTGTATATACTCCAACCTGGGTTCAAACCTCTAACCTAGGTGTGTGCCATGACCAGGTATGGAACTGGTGACCTTGCAGTACACTGGATGATGCTCAACCAACTGAGCCACACCAGCCAGGGCAGATCTATCGTATTTTATTCTTGTGTGGCAGACACTTTTGATTGCCTGATCTAATAGCCATTTCCAAACCCTTTCCCCAGTGTACTACATAAATATAGGCTGGAGAAGCCAAATACTTGCTTTCCCAGACTCTCTTGAAGCCAGGTTTCACAGGGAGCTTTCTGGGCAAGTTTTGCTTTCTTTCCTTTTCTTCTATTTAAAATGAGGGCACTGTTTGAGGTGCATCAGTCAACTTACCACCATGAGACTATCATCATGTTAAGGATGGAAAACAGAACAATTTAAAAGAATCTGGGGGCCTTTAAGATATTGCTTAAGTCATTGCATCAGTCCAGATTATCTACCTTTGGACTTCTTATTCTGTGAGAGAAAAAATTCCTTATATGTTCAGGCCATGGTTCCCTAGGTTTTCTATTACTTGAGGCAAACACATTTTATTGATAAACCATACATATTTGAAAACAGTATTTCTTCCCTCTTGCTTCAATGGTGTTTTGGCTATAAGTAGAAATCTAGATCATGATAATTTTCCCTCAGAATTTTAAGACCTTGTTTCCCCTTATCTTAGTTTCCATTGTTGAGAATTTCTATATCCACTCTAAGTCCTATTCCTTTGAACGTGACCTCATTTTACCCTAGAAATTTTTAAGATATTCTCCTTACCCTGATATGTGAAATTCCACAGTGAATAATGATGGTTTTTGTTTTGCTAAATTTGACGTACTGACTTCTGTAGGTGCTCATTTATAATCTGGAGCCAATGTTTAGAGAAATTTTCTGCTATTTCTTTATTTTATAATCTAGTCTCCTCCATTTTCCCTGTTCTCTATAGCTTGGGAAACTCTTATTAGTTCAATATTGGAACTCCTGGATTGATTTTCTAAGGTCCTTATTTTCCCTAATTTTCACCTCTGTCTTTTTGTCTATTTTTCAGATTTCTTACAACTCTTCTACTTTTTTATTCTAATAAAATTTATTTTTCAAAAGCTCTTTCTTAGTCTCTGATTTTTCATTGCATCCTATTACAGTTTTACGGATGCAGATCCTTTCTCTAAGAAAACTGGCCTTGATCATTATAATTTTCATTTACTTGTGTTCAGTGCATTACTCCAGATTTCTATTTTCAGGTTTGTTTTGTTTCTCTCTCTCTCTTCCATGGTAAAGGTTCTAATAAGGAAGATACTCAACTGACAGTTTAATAAGAGTGACAAAATAAAAAGTTAATTGAAAGTGTTATGTGTATCATGGGCAACACTACAGGGGGACTAGGCTGTGAAAGTGGACCAGGCAGCGAGATTAGCCATTTTATTGGCGTGGAAGGTGCCCAAACAACAGTATCTGGAAATATTTTCTTTGAGGCTATACATTTCCTCCAGAAATGTGATTCCAGTCTTTTGTAAGAGACATATGTCTGGCATGCTGGGAACAGGGATGTGGTTAGAAGTTCTACTATTCAGTTTATAGGCTTAATTGTCCTGTTTTCTGCTCTGTCCCCTTTGCCTCCACAGAGACTTTATCATTTCATTTCTCCCCAGAAAAAAAGAGTGCTAGTAGGAAGTATGGGAGAAGGATCCTGAGGGCAAACTACTTCATGTGTATTTTTTTTTTACAATGATGCGATCTTTTGTTAAAAGAAAAAAAACCTTTTCATCCTAAATATGAACAACTATTACAACTTTAAAACTGTGTTTTAATAAGTAATAGCTAAAAGGAAAAGCAAGCTATTCTAATTCCTTAACCTATTACTCAAATCAGGCATTTTAAACCCCTGGGCCTTAAACAAAAATACCATTCTCCTGTGTATACTAATCACAGGCAAAGTGACTACTATGTAGGGCAGTGATGGTGAACCTTTTGAGCTCGGCGTGTCAGCATTTTGAAAAACCCTAACTTAACTCTGGTGCCGTGTCACATATAGAAATTTTTTGATATTTGCAACCATAGTAAAACAAAGACTTATATTTTTGATATTTATTTTATATATTTAAATGCCATTTAACAAAGAAAAATCAACCAAAAAAATGAGTTCGCGTGTCACCTCTGACACGCGTGTCATAGGTTCGCCATCACTGATGTAGGGTAACTGTGCATCATCTAAAATAGGATACTTTTGAGAGTGAATGGGGCAGTTTCATAAAACTGGGACTATCTTAGGCAAACCAATCACCCTATTACAAGGAGAATAACTTATTGGATGCTGAATTTGTAAACTTAAAAGGCATTACCATTTCATGTCCTCCTTCAGAACAAAGACAGATTCTACTATGCTAGTGCATAATATAAGTTACTATACTGAAAGTAGAAGGTGGAAAGGATTAGCAAATATAGAATAATATAGTTTTTAGGATATCAATTCTTGCCAACCCCCACCTCCCCAATAAGCACACAAAAAATTCCCATAGAGATTCATATACTATCTTTCTGCTCCAAGGAAATAATGATGATTAATATATTTTAAACAGATAGAATTGGATAATTTAGCTGGAAGAGAGAGACAAAAACAAGTTTTCTGACCTCTTAGTCAGATTTACTTCAATTAAAGAAATGGGGAAAGGGTGAGGAATGGATAGAAAGAAAAGAAAATGGGCTATAGTCGTCTACCTTATAAAGTATGTAAGACATGAGAGAAGAATCACTAAATGCCTTTACCCATTCCAGAGTCTTTCTTGGTGCCATCTGATATTATGTCTACATGATCAGAGTCCACATCATAACTAAAGAAATCATTCAAATAGGTCTTTGATCGCTGGCCACCGAATACATATAAGCAACGATTTTTCTGAAAAATAAGAAAAAAATGGCAAAGAACAGAGAAAGTAGTTACTTTCATGAAAAATTCAGAATGACCTTTAATAAATTTAAACCTCTATAAAAGTAATTTTATGACAGATCCCATGCAGTGGAGTACTATGATGGTACAAAGAGAAGTGAAGATGCTTTCTATATACTGCTAAGAGGTGACCTCCAGGATATTCTATTGAAGTAAAAAAGCAAGGTGCAGCCCAGTTGGTGTGACTCAGTTGGTTGAGCAGAGTTCTATGCACCAAGAGATTATTGGTTCGATTCCCGGTCAGGGCACATGCCTGGGTTGAGGAAGCCAATTGATCTCATGGATGTATCTATCTCTCCTTCTCCCTTCCTCTTGTTCTAAAAAAAATCAATAAAAACATTAAAAAAAAAAGCAAGGTGCAAAATAATGTATACGAAGTGCTCTTTTGTGCAAGAAAGGAGAAAAAGAAATGTGTTTGTTTCTTTCTCCAAAAAGAAACAAAGAAAGGAAACTAATAAAAGACAGTTACTTCTTGGAGAAGGGACAGAACAGGAAGACAACAAGGATTACACTAGATCTCTCTTAACGTACCCAAACTTTTGGTTTTGCCTTTAGAACCAGGTGTATGTTTTAATTTAATTAGAAAACAAATTAACTCAAAAGAAAAAATCTCTGAAATTAGAAAAAAAATAAACATATCAGTACATAAAGATATGACCACAGAGAGAATATTTCTAGTGATTTTAATTCATGTTTTTGAATACCCTTTCTTAGTGGGTTATATACTAAACAGAAAAATAATAAGAAAGTAATTTTAAACAGCATTTGTGATTTTGCTGTTAGTTTTGCTATTCTGTAAACTATAAGACAGAATAATATACTACTGACATTAGAAAGGAGGATTTTAAACTTAAAAGATATACAAAATCAAAGATATTAAAAATTATAATCTTTCATTTGAATTAGATATATCAGTATAAACTCATGATTTTTCTCTTACTAAAAAGGTATATATATATTACACACACATATATATATACACATATACATGCGCGCGCGCGCGCACACACACACACACACACACACACACACACACACATATACTGGGAGGGGGGCATGTCTACTGGCCAAAAATAGAGAAAATTTTGGGGCATCAAAAAAATTAATGGCCCTGGCTGGTGTGGCACTAATGGGTCACAGGTTTGATTCCAGGTAAAGGTCACGCATGTACCCAGGTTTCAGGTTCAATCCCTGGCCCAAGTTGGAACACGTGCAGGAGCAGCCAATGGATGTGTCTCTCACATTGATGTCCCCCGCCCCCTTTTTCACCCTCTGAAAATCAATGGGAAAAATATCCTCGGGTGAGGACAAAAGGAAAAAAAGAAAGAAAGAAAGAGTAATGACATCATTGGATTAAACACATCAAATATATAAAAATCGATTAGTTCATAATAACACTTAAAAAAATCTATCGGTTAACTTTGGAGCCTCAACTCATTAATATAAAAGAGTGATAAAGGAAGAAAATCAATTTACATTACCTATTCTATGCAGTTTACATATCAGAGTAGCCACACAGTTAATGAGAGTAAGTTTTTAATAATATAATCAGTTAATAAATGCAGAAGAAATGACACAATTAGAAAAATCACCATTTGACAAATCCTAATGAAATCTAGGCAATGACTATCAATGGCTGCTAGAGCCATGAGGTAAAATGTTGACAGGAAACTTTATAATTAATAATCAGGTTGATAGCACCTGAATTCACTGAACAATTTTAACATCACCAAAAGCATGACAACTACACATTAAATGCCTCTCGATATTTTGCAATCAGACCACCTATGAAGTATTTCTGCACCTTTCCTTTTGCGCTCCCCAAAAGGAGACTGAATCTAAAATCAAGCACTAGATTTATGAAGGTGATCACTTTGTAAGTTATATACATGTCTAATTACTTGGTTGTACATCTGAAACTAATATAATATTATATGTCAATTGTAATTGAAAAGTTATTTTTTTTAAATGACTCTGGATTTAACTACCAGGAAATATGGATAAAAGACCACATTAAATGACATTATGAGAAAATAAAATCAGCTAAATCAAGAATACAAGAAATTCTAAAGCTCACATGATTCAGTTTCTTTAACAAATAAGTGGTATGTGGGGGAATAAAATAAGAGGGGTGAGTACTATTATGGATTAAATAAAATTAAGAGATCTAACAACCAAATATAATACTTGGACTTTTCTGAACCCTGACTTGAATAAACCAATTATGAAAAGGTATTTTATTTTTCGGTATTTTAGAAAAATTCTATGTATTAAATGTTGTTAAGAAATTGCTTTTACTTTGGTTGAATATTATAATAGTATTGTAATTATGTTTTTTTAAAATCTTTAACTGTTAGTGACACACTATAATATTTGTAGGTGTAATGATAAGAGTGTCTGGGATTTGCTTTAAAATACCCCAGCACTTAAAAAAATCAAACATTAAAAACAAAAAAAAATATAAGTGGGGTAGATATATGAAAAACAGTGAAATATTGATAATTGTTGAAGCTAATGAGTACACAGGAATTTATCATATTCTTCTCCCCACTTTGGCATATGATTAAAATATTCCATAATACATTTTTGAAGTTATATTCACAGAAAGAGGCCCAAGTTTCCCTGTAGCATCTGATAAGTTTAATTCAATGTCTGTATGTTGGTTTTGCTGATAAATTTTAATTCTATAATGTCAATTCTTAATTATTTGCACTTAATGAATAATAGAGGGAAAAATAAGAACAGATAAGAAAATTGATCTTGCAGTTAATAAATAAATAGAAATAGATCTATATAAGCAATGAAGTTAATAAAAAAAAACCTATATTATTATTCAGGTGATAACTATGTAGTAATTACTAAGTTGATGGGAAAGAGCCTCAATTATAACAGTTCACTGTTAAAAAGTTTTATTTTTGTCTATTATTGCTAACACTAATCATTTATATCTAATGAAAAGTTTTGATCACTTACTGAGGAATTAGATTTCACCACTTTTCTTACTGAGATACACATGACAAAGTAACATAACACAATGTACAGAATATTCTTACTGAGTGAAATAGCATGCAGTGTCCTATCCGAGACTGGATATCCTCAGGCCCGGCATTGCAGGAGTCCTCTCGAAGAAGTTTCCAGGTTTGACATTGACAGTTGAAAGCAAACAACCCACTGAATTGTGGTTCACTGGCTCTGCTGTCGTCTACACTGCCATTACAAGTCAAAATTCTACCCCCAAAGGTGTAGATCATATGTTTTTCTGAGTCCATACACATCTATCAGAATAAAAAAATAGATTGAATAGTTTTAGATTGTTCCTGTCATATGTGTTAAAATGAAACCAATGTGTGTTGTTTTAGATTCTCAAAAAACCCTGAACTTTGTCTTAATAACACTACGTACCGCCCCTGATTATCATATGCACTTATTGCAATAATGCCAACCACCTGGCAGATGGATTTCTAAATACCTTTTCCAGTTTCAATTTTTCCCACTGAGAATAAAATATGTTGGGTTAAAGAGCTTTATGCTTTCTTGAAACTGCATAATTTTTACCACATCAACCAATAAATAATACATGAGGTGCTGATTTGTAAACCTAAGAATGAATACAGGTCACACTCTATGGGTAAAGAGTGATCACACACTCCTTGCAAGCATTCTATTAATCTTGCTACCATTAAATAAGAGAGCAGATATGTGAATGAGTGATGCAACTAAATTCATCTCTCTGCAATTATTTTACAAAACTCTTAAAATTATGTTAAAAACAGTAAAACAGACAGACATTTGCAACAGTTTACAGACTGACTTCTACCGTGTGATGAATCTTGCCTTTTTTTAACACAATACTATAAATTTAATTTTCTTTGAGGTATGTTATGCAACTCAAGTTCAAAAGTCAAAATTCTTTCAACTCAAGATGATAATTTTTCATAAAACTATCTGATAAAAGTCATTTGTCGAAGATAACAAAAAAGAATTAAATTCTATTTCAAAGAATATATAAGTACAAGTTGGAAATTAGATATTGAACACAAGTGGCATTTATAATTTAAAAAAAATTGTGTACACAAAACATTATTTTGTTAAAGCACAAACACAGGCCATTGTATGTTCAATTCTCTCCTCCCATCAATTACTTCTGCTATTCATTTTTTGCAGTTTTTAATAAAAAGCTTTTTTAATAATTATAAAATTTGGTTTTAAAATTAATATTAAAAAGATTCTAACCAATGTCACCCCAATAAATTTTTAAAAATTAAAATAAAAAAGAGACTCTAGCATCTCCTAATCTTTGCCTACCACTAAAAAGATCCACTCATTTGCCATTTCCCAGGTTTATGGCAGATTTTCATAAATTAAGATGAAAATCTACTATACCTCAAAGGTGAAATCTTAATGAATATGGTTGCAAAACTGAGATAAAGTTTTCATGTCCCTGGCCTCCCAAAGAAAGTGTTCTCACTCTTTAATCTTCAATAATCCTATCATTAAAAGCAATACATACATTCCTGAAGACAACTAGTATGGCCCCATTCACCTACTATATATCTGACTGTCTAGGGCTGCATTGAAGTTGGGTCACATTACCCTGTCCTAAATACTTAAGGCTTAAGTCTCTCCAAACACCTGGGGATCATGCTGAAAATCCCGAGGGACACACATTACATAAGCCAATTATATTTTCATAAATTCAGAGTTATACTAATTTTGGCCAATCTCTGTTATCAGGTTTCCTATGGTTATCTAGCCCCTAAATTCTACTTCATACGGCTACAAAGGGATTTTCTCTTTCCTTTGGAGGATATTTAATTTTGATGTGCTTGTTCTCAGTTGTCTGCCTACAAAGGTAACCAGTTTTCTCTCTGAGGCTTTTAGAATTTTCTCTTAATCCTTGGTTATGAAATTTCATTAAGGAAGTATCTAGGCAGGGATATGCTTTTTCATTCATCCTGAACTGCACTTGGTGTTCCCTTCATTCTGCAAACTGTCTTTCTTCATCTTTAAGAGTTTTCTTCATTTTTACCTTGAGTTTGTTTTGGCCAGCATTCTCTTCTTCTAGAACTCCTATTAGATAATATTGGAACTTCAGGACCTTCTCTCTGTTTCTTAACTTTTCTCTCATAATTTCAGTTCATTAATTTAGTAACCATTTTGAGGTGAGTGTGTCCATTCTGCTTTTCAAATAATTTGCTGAGATTTTAAAAAACCTTTAATTTGTAACTTTTCTAGATGTCTTTTATGAATGCAATAGTTGCCTGAATTGCTCTAAAAATAACACTTAAGCTTGCCCTAAAGACTTCTTTAGTTTATACTATTGTTTTTCTTTGTTAATTCTTAATTTGCTGACTTCAGCACCCATCTTATGGTATTAATTACATTAAAATATATGGATTTTTCTTGGTTGTTCTAGTCCTCTTTATATCTGAGAATCACTAGTCATTTGCCTGCTACATATACACTAGCCGGCCTAAAGGGACTGGGTGGGGAGAAATGAGATGTGATATTGTGAAGGGTTCCTCAGCTGCTCTTCAGCTGCCCTTGGGAGTATTGCTCTACCTTTCCAGCTCCAATGCCCACACTCAACACTTGACCCATGGACAATATCACAGTTAAGTGCTACTCAAACTGAAGAATGCTTTGCTGTTCAGTCCCCCACTGATCATCTAATGTTTGCTGCAGCTCTATAAACTTTGTGGCTGTAATCTTACAGGCTCCAGTTTCTTCTGGTTGGATCTGGTCCTATCTGCTTTCTACCTTAAAGGAATTCTCCCCCGCTTCGCGCCCCCCCCCCCCCACATATTTTTAAGTTCCCAAAGGACATTCTTTTTTGTTATCAACGCTATTACTAATGTATTCTATTGTCATTTCATAGGATATGGGCAGGAGAACAGTAAAAGTATGTGTTCAGCCTGCCAATGATCCACACTGACCCAAGGAGAATGTCAATGAGCTGAGATCTCCAATCATTGACTAAAGTTTCTCCTGCCAATTCTTGGCTAGCTCATATTCCTTTTTCTAGTAATTCCTTCAAAAGGTGGTCATACTTGATAGACAGTTTCTCTAGATATAAAATCCTTGACTCGCATTGTCTTTTCCTACCTTCTAGATGCTGCTCTAATGTTTCCTGAATGTAGCTGTAGAGAAATCTGATACCAGTCTCATTTTATTCCTCTTATAGGGTGACTTGATCATTTTGCCTAGTTTCCCCCTAAATGGCTTCTTTATATTTGAAATGCACTGTTACTAACATATGTCTTAGAATTGAATGCATAGGTCAACATTTTTCCTTTCTGATTATAACACACCCTTTTGAAATGTGAAATAGTATTCTTTGTTCAGGAAAGACTTCTTGAAATTTATTATAAATATTTGTTGTTCCATTATTTTGGTTTCTGTAGTTAATGTCTCCAATTATATGTATGTTGGCTTATTTTTGCCTGTCTTCTCTATAATTTTCTGACTAATTCTTTTCTTAATCTTTATTTCTATATTACCTGCTCTTCTTATTTCTATACTATATAACCCTTACCTATTCTTCATTATGCTCTATGTAGATTAGTTTTCATTTCTGAAAATGCTACTATATTTTCTTCAGTTTCTTTCCTGAATTTTACCAGGTCTCGTTTCACCTGCTCCTCTTATTTGGTCATCTCATCTGCACAACTGAATTTATGCTTTGTAGTTTTCTTCAAAGTTTCAAGCTTCATTAAATCATTTATCTGTTCGGATACTGATATATAATTTTCATCTGCTATTGTGTGAAGGAAAGTTTTGCTGGTCTTCTTTTTATTAATTTTCTTTAGAGTACCTCTCTCAAAATTCTGTGTTTTAAACTTTTTAAATGTTCATATTTAAATTTGTTGAATTTCCCTGGGCCAGATAACAGAAGGTTCCTATGAAAGGGTAATGTTCTTGCTTAAGGACTCCCTCTTCTGTTGCTACTGAATTAAATGGCTTCTTCAAAATGTAGTCCATCTGTGAAGCCCTGTCTTTCTTAAACTCTATGAACCCTCATCTGTATGTGTGTGTGTGTGGGGGCGGGGGGGACTGTTTCTATCTCAAGACTTAAGGTCCTCCAGTTCCTTCACTAGATATTGCAAAAGGAGCACTGTTCACACTTGTCACGTTGTTTCCCATACTTTTAGAAGATGGTGCTTTCTGACATCTCCCTTTCTGGGCCATTCTGGGTTCTTTGCACATGTTATCTCACTAACTCCCCCAGAGGCTGCCCTGCTAAGATGTACCTCTGCTAGGCTCCCTCTACATTCCCAGTTCTCCCCTGTTACATTACTGTCAGCTTTAATACAGGTTCTGAATATTTCAGTTATTTTTGGCTAAACTTACAAGAAATTGGGAGCTGTGGGTTTTCTTTGGCTCCTGGTTTTGCTGAATATGTGACTTGTGTTTGTTTTTTTAATCTTTTTTTTTTTTTTTGGTTTGGCTCTCATTGTTCCTGAAAATCACACAAAGCAACAACATCGAAAGCTTCAGAACTAAGCTGCCACTATGTTCTTAATAAATTCAAAGCTTTAAATTTATTAACTGTTAAATTCAAAATTGCAAAGTAACTTTTTAAAGCATTTTCATGCCTCTAGCTTTCTCACATTCTTGAGCGTTAAGTGTCAAATCTTAAAGTGTCATGAACGCCCTAAGTAATTTTGAAGTTCCAACTTATAGCTTTATTTACATGAAACAAAATAGAAACTAGAGGCTTATACAGATTACAAAAGGTCACAGAGCTCGTTATTAGCCTAATTAGCACTGAAATCCTCGTTTCTTCACACCTGGTGTTCTGTTATAACATCGAATCAGTTGAAAACCAAACATTTAACAGAACCTAGCTTCCAAGGAACATTTTATTTTATCAAAGTCAAGAGAATCAAAGACCATACATAAGGACAATATATTTGTACTTAGACTATCCCTAAGCTATTCTTTTTTCAACTTGTAAAAATAAAGACATAAACATCTTTTGTAAAAGAAATTTGTAACCAGTTGAAAGCAAGAAAATAAATTGTTTCCCTCCAAATGTTATCTGTTGATGTTTTGTTTTTAAGAGATCAGAACCAGCCAAACTTTTTTTGGAGCTCTTATTTTCCACATGAAAACACTGAAGATGTCACAGGGAAGTGCAAAGCTTTGCAAAGCTCAGTTATGTAGAGCCAGCAGAAGTTCCAAATTCAATCTGGGGAATACTTGAGGACTAATGTTTTTGATTTTCCACCCACCACTTACTTGATAGGCATATAACCCATTCCTCTTTTCCTTACCATTCTCCTATAACAACTAATTGTTAATATAAATATAGCATAAGAATACTTTTAAAATAAGTAATTAACAAAAATATGTAATAAACAATAAATGAAGACTTGGTTTTAACTCACATAAGATAGGAGATAAGCTAGGTTTAAACTAGATTAGATCATAATTATAGCACCATCTCCTATTTCTCAAGTACTAGACAATGCTATGTTCATCATTATAGTGTTAAAGATTTTTTGAAAGTTTTCTCTCCCCCACACTCCAAAAAAATCTTTGGACATGGTTTGAATCAAATAAAACTGCCTACAGAATTCAAAGTGGTTACTGTTTTGTTTGAGGTACTGAACTATACTGAACTGATTGACATGGAGTACATATTCAAATATAGAAAAAAATGATAATGACACTGATGGAGATGATGAGACTTACATGCATATTAATATATTAATATTAAAATGGCTTACAATATTGCTATGTGTAGTCTTGTCTACAATATCATTATATGATTTTTTATTGGTGCTGATTTTAAATTTCATCTAGTTTATGTCAAATTTCTATCTGTTTTATAATGTTTGTGATTATATGCAAAGGTAAATATATTTCACACAAATTGGAAGAAAAGCTCTAGATTTCAAATTCTTGAATTCATTATAAGTAATTTAAAATTTCTTCCAGGAATGTAGAATAAGAAGTTTTAAAAGGGAAAACTGTTATTGTTATGATTCCTAGATATTTTTTATACAACTAAATTTGTTTTTCCTAATATGTACTGCTCCATCTACTATCTAAAGTTTTTATAAATTAACATTTGTGTTCTGAGATCTTAGTATTTTTCCTGCCCTATATAAGAGAAAAAAATTTTAAAGGATAACTTTACAACTACTGGCACAAGTTATTTTTATTTTCTGTCATAGGTATTTGTAATAGAAATCTAAGAGATAATTTAGATTATTAAGCATAACATGTGACATAAACGCTAACAGAAAGTTACCAAGCACTAATTAATTCTACCATATATTTATCTGTGCACCAAACCTGATGATCAAACACCAATTTCGGCCCTCCATCAGCAGCAGTATCCTCACTGAGTAACATCCATGTGTTAGTGTCAATGTCATAACGATAAAAGTCACTTTTCAGAGATTTGCTGTTCCTCACAGAGGAATCCAAATAACGGCCCAATGTGTAGATTTGCCTTCGTTGAATGTCAATGCACATTTTATGACATGATCTGGCACTGGGACCATTCTATAGAGAGAAAAAAAAAGGAAGAAATTAAAAGAATAACCAAATAAAATTAAATGCCTCTTTTTGTTGACTTTCATTACAAGCTTTGTTCAGAAACTCATAGCAAGTCAGCTAATATAACTCCAACACTAGGCTTAAATCTCTCAAGAAAAGCAAAAGAAGTAGTAGGAGATAAAAATCTTTCCTTAGAAATGCTTAAAATCCACCAGGAAAGATGAGATGATCTATTCTGTACCCTATGGCATTCTGTTCATAACACTTATATGGCTTCTATTACATACTCCATTGCATTTTAGTCATTTGTGCACAGTTTAATTCTCTATTATGTGTTGATCTACTTAAAGACACATTTAGTCCTTTAAAATATTTCTCATCAGAATTTCTCACCAGAATCTAGCACAGATAGGCATTCCAAGAATATCTAGAATCACTGAATTTCATAACTAAAAGGACCCTTTATAAAATCTCTAGTTTAATTATCCCTTTTAAAGACAGGAACTAAAAGCCAAAAGATAAGAGGCATCCTCCTGAAAGCTAGTACACTAGTGAGAGAAGCAGAATGAGAATCCAAGTCTTTGACTTTTCCATCTACCCTTTATATTATATAAAAGTGACTTTCCTGGCGGAAACCGGTTTGGCTCAGTGGATAGAGCGTCGGCCTGCGGACTCAAGGGTCCCGGGTTCGATTCCGGTCAAGGGCATGTACCTGGGTTGCGGGCACATCCCCAGTGGGAGATGTGCAGGAGGCAGCTGATCGATGTTTCTCTCTCATCGATGTTTCTAACTCTCTATCTCTCTCCCTTCCCTTCCTCTCTGTAAAAAATCAATAAAATATATTTAAAAAAAAAAAAAAAAAAGTGACTTTCCTGACTGAATAAATAACACAACTAGGGGGAAATAGGAAGAACAGTATATTACAAAAAAAATCAATTAGTTGAGATAATTTGTATCACAGGACTGAATAAAAGGTAAAAATTATTATAGTACAAACTAAAAGTAGAGTTCATGAGGCGAAAAAAAAAACACCTTCAATTGGGCAGGATTGAATTAGTTAAAAGATGGAAAAGAAACCAGAACTAATATTTATTAAATATCTCCTAAATTCTGTCTATATTATTACTATGTGTGTGTGTATATTTCATTTAATCTACATAACAACTCTATAAGGAAATATCATCATTTCATAGAGTCTAAGTAATTTGTCCACAGTCACAAAACTAGAAAGTAAGATAGAGAATCTAAGCCCCAGGACAACCAAAGTAAAAACTATGTTCTTTCCACTATTCCAGATTTTTTTTTCCAGAAGAGAAACAAAAGCAAAAATACACTTACTACAATGTGTATGGTTATGACTGAGATGTAGAATTCCTGCTGCAGAAACAAAAGAGTTGAAGTATAAGGCAGAAATAAGAAGCTTGGTGAATGTGACTGACAGAGGAGACTAGATAAAATCTTGTAAGCAATAAATAACTATTGTAAGTTTCTAGAGCAGGAAATAAAATAAATAAGTGATACTATAGGAAGAGTAATCTAGCATTATTTAGATTACTTGAAGTAATAAAGGTAGTCAGCATAAAGAAAAGTTTGACATTAATGTTTTTAACCCATATATTAAGTTTATTTAAATCTGCATTTTAGCCTGGCTGGTGTTGGTCAGTGGTTGAATGTCGACCTATGAACCAGGAGCTCACGGTTCAATTCCCAGTCAGGGCACATACCCAGGTTGTAGGCTCGATCCCCAGTGTAGGGCGTGCAGGAGGCAGCCCATCAATGATTCTCTCTCATCTATCTCTCTCACTCTCTCCCTTCCTCTCTGAAATCAATAAAAATATACTTAAATAAATAAATCTGCATTTTAGTATTCATACTAATTATTATCCTAAAACTTATATTTAAAGATTTTTATCAAGAAAAATCTTCAATAGATAAGGTGAAAAGTTTTGAGAAAGAATTTCTTGTATAATGAAATAATCTCAAAAACAAAGATGGGGTAATATATAACGAATAAATCAATGCCATACTTCCTAGAATGTGAAATTTTATTAGGAGAGTAACAACTTCTTGCTTCATCTTAATTAGCAAGAATGCTATTAAAATGTTGAGCAATTATAACCTAAGTTTAAAAAAAATAAGATAATAGGAATAAATAGAATAGGAAACAGAAAAAAACCAACAAACTTGGTTCTTTGAAAGATTAATAGAATTATAAACCATTTGAAGACTAATTTTTTAAAAAGGAAAAGAAAATACAAATTGCCAATATTATAAATGAAAACAGAAATATCACTACAAGTTCACTACAAATTAAAAAGAAATAAGGGCCTAATATAAAAAACAAGTAAAATCTGACAAAGTAGATAAAATAGACATAGTCCTTGAAAATTACTTACCAAAATTGACACAAGATAAAAGAAAAAAATCTGAAATCATTATGTCTATTGAAAAACTGCATTTATAATTTAAAGTCTTCCTACAAAGAGCACTAGTCCTATATATTTACACTGGTAAATTTTATCAAACACTTTAAGAAAAAATAATACCAAATTTACACAAAATTTTTCAGAAAAGGAAAAATAACTTCCATTTTAAATCTGTACTGTATTCCATTCCTAATTTACTTTATGAGGACAATATAACACTGAAACCAAGTAACAATATTACAAAGGAGGAGGAAGAGAAATAATATACAGGCAGTTAGTACAGAGACACAAAACTAATTTTTAACAAAATATTATCAAACAGAATGCAGCAAGACACAAAAAAGATATTTTGTAACTAAAGGGTTTATCTCAGAAATGCAAAGTTGATTTTATATTTGAAAAGCAATCAAATTAATTCATCACATTAACGGAATTAAAGGGAAAAACATGATTGTATCAATACATATAGAAAAAGCATTTTTTCTCAGCATATTCATGAGGAAAAACTCACAGCAAACTAGGAATAGAAACTTCCTTAATCTAATAAGTAATGTATAAAAATCCAGAATCTAATTTTCACTTAATGGTGAAATACAGATCCTGCTAGGATCTGAAACAAGATAAAGATATCTAGCCTCACCTCTTCTATTTAACATTATACTGGAAGTCCAAGTCAGTGCAATAAGGCATTAGTTTAAAAAATAAAATAGAAAGTTATGATAGAAAAAGAGAATGGAAAAAAGGTAAAACGATTCCTATTCATAGATGACATGACTATTTGATGAAAACATTCAAAGAAATCAACAAAGAAACTTAGAAGTGGATTTAGAAAAGTAAGAGATACAAAGGCAAAGTTAAAAAAAACTATTTACTTCTCTATATTAGCAGCTTGTTTGCTAATAAAAAATTTTGAAGTTCCATTTAAAATAGCATGAAAAATCAAAATATACTGGGATCAATTTAATAAAAAAAATATCCAAGACCTCTAACATGAAAATTCTAAGAATGCTGAGATATTAGAGAAGATTGAAATAAATGGAGATTTAACTATGTTCATAGATTCCAAGACTATTAATAAGACAGCAATTCTTTCCAAATTGCTTTATAGATTCATTACATTCCCAATAATCCCAACAGTTTTAAAAATGGACACTCTTCTAAAATTTATATGCAAATGTAAAGGACCTAGAAGAATCTGAATAATTTTTAAAAAAGAATAAAGAGGTCCTACATTACCTGGCCTTAAGGAGTACCATATTGGTTTATGAACAGACCAAAAGATAATGGAGCAAAATAGAGTGTCCAAAAAGAGACATATACTTATATGACCAACTGATTTTGACGAAGATCAATGGGGAAGAAGATAGGGAACAACAACAACTCTCAAACATTTTTGGCAAGAATATAAAATGGTACAACCACTTTGGGAAAGCTTCAACAGTTTCATCAATGGATGCTAAAATGAGTAACAGGATATTTTCATAATCTCAAAATTTATTTATTAATTATAGAATGGAAACATCCGGAGGCACCTTCCTTGACCAACTGATCAAAGCTAATATCAGACAAATCTCTTGATAAAATACACTAAGGAAGACCCAATGTCATCTACACGGTATTCCTGCTAAAGATGTCTAACCTAATTGCAATCTTAAGAAAATAGACAAACCCAATTGAGGGTCACTCTACAAAATAACTTCTTTGTATTCCAAAAATGTCAAGGTCAAGAAAAGGTTAAGGAACTATTCCAGACTGAAGGTGACTAAAGAAACATGACATTGAAATGCAATGCATGATTATGAACTGAGTTCTAGGTCAGGGATAGGGGTTGGGCTGACAGTGGGACACCTATAGAGGACATTACTAAAGAAATTATTGGGATGATTGTCTACCTTTGAATAGGGATTGTGGATTAAATTAAAGCAGCTATTCTCAGTGCAGTCTGAAGTCTTAAAAACACTTCAGGGAGTCCACAAAATCAATGTTATTTTCATAATACTAAGATAAAATTTATCTTTTCACTCTTATTCTCTTATGAATGTAGGTGAAGTTTTTCAGAGGCTACATGACTTTTGATATAGCAATATATTGAATGCAGAAGTGGATATGAATCCAGCTGCCTTCTATTAAGCCAAACACTAAAGAGATTTAGAAAACTATAAAACAATGCTTCTTGATGCATAATGGTTATCTCAAGAAAAAGCACCTATGTGATTGAGATGCAAGCTGACTTAGCTACTTTCCCATGTAACACTGCATTTATTGGAAAGAAAACTAACAACCCAAGTATTGTTATTCAGACATTATGATATGCCCGACATTAAAAATAAATAAATAAAGTATGTCATTTTGAAGGAAAATAACTCACAAAATTAGTTGCCAGTGATAAAATGCACATTTTTAAATTGAGCAAAAATTAAAAATTTTGAAAACTCCTACCCACCAATGTGATCTTGACACTTCCTCACTATTCTAAAGACTTTTCTAATGACTTGATAGTGATATTAACAAATGTATCATTTTTGGATATCCTATATATTAAAAGCCTAATATGCTAAGTGTCTGGTCGTCTGTTCAACC